ATAACCACATCAATGCATCACGATTCCCCTATTATTCGCAAGTCTACAACATGCTGCCCTTTTTTCCGCTGGTTGCACAAACACACGGTGCGTTGAATTCCCTGCTCTAGGGATTAGCAGTTAAGGGAAAATTCAAGCCTCTTGTTGCGCTTGAACCGGCACTGTAAGATGCAAAGCATCCTACTAACAAATTGCACTACTGTCTCTCTTCTTCACTTGATATCAATCAATTTCGAAGACCGTTTGGCCTTTCGGAGCGCGGAAGCAGTTTCGTCGAACAATGTTTCAAACTTTCCAAATCCTTTGCCAGCGTTTGAATTTCGGCAGTAGACAGCCAGAGTTTGAAACAAAGTCCTTTGATATACTTGCCCAAAGTTACTCTTGGCCCTCTCCGGAATCTTCGGTCAGTAAGTTGGACAAGTAATGGCTGTTTCGCCTGCCTCTCTGGAAACATTCGCAATACGTGACCAGATCATTGCAGCAAGTGACTTCTCAATTTAGAGAAGCAGTAGTTGTAACCAAGACTCTCGGGTATCTGTACTCCGGAACATGCCGCGATTTGTCCAACCCTTCAGCCCAGCGATTTGTCCCAGAAAGCGCATTTCAACCGCTTGTGTATGGGATCGAAGTTTTTTGTCATGGTCTATGACACCTGACCGTAGGTAAGCATCCAGATGAAAATGGAGTTGAAACTTAGAGAGCTTATTCTTCAGATTGAGCCCGGCCGTGATCACATGGTTTTGGGCTAATCCGCGCAGAACTCTGCTGGCCAGTCCAATTCTCTTCAATAAATACTGATTTTATAATTCTCATTTCCGTCGCTTTCAGTTGCTTGTTATTGGCGTTGTTTGAGTGGAACTGTTTGCAGTTCATAATGCAAGAAATTCAGAATTTCAGGCCTGTATATCTGCAGCTTTGTCCTATTGCTAACATTTTTGTCGTTCCAGAACTTGCTTATGGTAGCGCATAACGCCTGAACTTTTCTTGTCTCGTTTATCTGCTACCAGTGTACTCCGATGGTACTGATATTCCGGTACCATCTCTACGACCTCGTTGGTGTCAATAATATGACTCATTTATCTGGTTTCTGCCGATTGCAGTCTGATTTGTTTTCTGTAAATTTACGCAGAGACCCAGATCAGACACCTGTTTTAGAATAAAAAATTAAAATGCTATAGTTTCGAACCTGTCCGCTAGCAGTGCGATATCCGCATATATGCAGGCGAGTTTAACGATCGCTGTCTAGTCTTGCCATACTTGTTGTCTGACTCTTTTCTATTCATTGCAGCCTCCAGCCAAGTAACGTTTCAGACAGCAGGGGAAATTGCTTTTGTCATTGACTGACTACAATCATCGTACTAAAAAATTTGCTAAACCTGCCGTTCGTTAGAGTCACAGCGCACGCGTCACGGATCTATTTAATTATGTCAATAATTTTGTCGGGGGTCCGTTTATTTCTCCAGGTTTCCACAACACATCCCTCAGTATTCAGTGCAAGACTGGTGAGATCCGCGAAAGTAACGAAGAATTTGCATTTCCTTCCTTTTCCTTTCAGTAAATAGTATTATCGTGAATATTTGTTCCAGTCATCTTGTGCCTGTCCTAAAGGCGAATGTCTCATCACCCAGGATCATCTCTCTATGTTTAGTCCCTTCACAATACTGCGCCGGGACGGATGGCAGGGTTATACGCTGCGATTGATTGAATCCGTGCAACAGTTTTTTTTTTAAATTCATGGCCATGACAGCCCTGAATCTGTTATTCTGAGTGTCTTCTCCTTTGCCATATGAATCAAAGTGGGTGATCTATAGCGGCATTCCGTCTGATTGCAATTCTGTAATTAGCGGCGGTTGCTTTCCGTCACTGCTACTGTATTTTACTTCACGTAAGGCTTAGATCTCTTCTAGGGGCAGAGTTGGTATAAAAGAAAGTTTATTCTTTTCCCAGGCGTTATTTCGCTCAAAGAATTTTCTTACACCATCACATTTGAGTTGAGTACCGATTCAGAATGCTTTTTCATATCCCCAACACTCTAACAGAATCGGATCTGAGATTGCAAACATTTTTTTTGATAGTTGTTAGTCGAGTCCTTTTACGCTGAAAAAACTATTTGCTTTCTTGAATAAGGGCTGCGTATCATTTATTAGCCGGATCTTTATTATTATATACAATTATTTCTGCATCCTTCTTCCAGAAGAGCACATTATCCTCTTGTCTGTTATGAAACTTGTCAAGTCTGCTTTTTTCTTGCAACCGTTTAATTTGCAAATTTGTCCGCGGCATTTTTCATCTAATAACTCCTGTTGCAGTGGTCACTATTGCCTCCCTGTATATGTTGCAGCCATCCTCCGCATATATGTCGCCTTAAACAATAAGCAGTCTGAATTTACCACCAATTTCGACTTGATATGCCTGAGATACCTGATGTTTTTTTATTTCAAACTGCGTTAGATTTTCGACTGGTTATCAAGGATAGATGCTTCATTTTCACTTTTGCGATTACCAGTTCGTGCTCCTTGCAGCTTTCTGATATATTCTTTGTATGTTTTATTGATTTTGATGGTGAGAAAATGACCAGACTCTGTGATTAATGCGTCGAGTTAGTTTGAAACGATGTTTCGCTAACAAGAAGACCTGCATTTCACAGAATTTCACATGTGATGCGCCGTTTTCATTCATCGTATGTCGTGTGTTCTCAGGCATCTACACATCACCTTTGTTCCCACTTTCCGCACTGCAGTTACCGAGAACTGGCAAGAAATCATGCGCTCGTCGGTATTACAGCAAAATATTTCAGAGCGCCATAAAATTCCTGCTCCGCTGCCGCGTCGCAGCTTCGACAGGGCACGACAACAACTATCGTGACGCCAAGTGCTTTTTACCTAGACCTGAATTTTGCTCTACTGATTCTGTCAGATATTCAGGTACC